GGATAGAAGTATAGTATGACTTATCAGGTTCGTCTTGGTGAGCCGGTACGGATAGAGACAGGTATATCACTGTTTCTAAATGTATCATCTGCTAACAAGGTGGAAAATTAATACTTGGATATCACCGGAGGTTTTAGCCACTTCCTATATCGAGATGGGAGTAGGACTAAACAGGAGGGGATGGTTGGTAGAAGTTACCAACATTAGTTGGAATTTTAATTCCATATGGTTTAAGAATAATGGATAGAGCAAGTTCGCTTAAGGACTACACTTTAGTGGTGTTTACTTTGACGCTTCTTATCCATTCTCCATTGTGTTGATAACGGAGTTATAGCATGTGGTTATTCAATATAGAAGATAACCGGTGCTGTGTCCAAGGAGTTTTCTAAAGGTGTTGGAGCAACAACTATGCTTCACATCTCTAGACGGGAAATGTGATCGTGATATTATATTTAAATCATGGCAAATATGCTTAGGATATATCCTAGGTTAGCATAGGTAATTGGACGCGTTACTTAGCCTTTTAGATATTATCTGTGCTATTGTTAGCACAAGAGGGTTCGTGCCACAATGTCTGGGATTTTGGTTAGTAGGTGGTGCCGATCTCTCACTGGTTGGTCTGGCCTGGAAGCGAGGTTATATGGTAAGACCTTGACTTTATGTAAGGATACATCGGAGAAACATACTCTGTTGTGGTAATGAGTGTGTACGGTTTGGAGGCGCTAATCGGATTTTGTAGATAGTTGAACTCGTACATAAGAATTCTCTATCAGGAAATGGTTGTTTTGGAGGAAGGTTAGTTTTCTGTATTACACTGCCTTTTCACAGATTTGGATAATCGAGTTAGGCAATTGCTTATACTATAGCGTTACCAACTTGTTAAAGTGCTGCATGTATAAGAATTCTATGCGTCTATTCTATGGAACATGGAGGAATAGTGATTATTACCCTTCGCTAAATATTGGGTATGGTTGGATCGTTGATAGATACAATTTGGGAGTTGTACAAATATGCTTTTTCTTATACATGGTATATTGTTGGATATGTTGGAATTTGGTGGAGCTCATCTAATGAAGTTGTGCCACACGAAAACGGAAATGAATTTGGTAAAGTCATTAATTCAGAGTTTCATGAATTCCGAGGACGGAATTCCTTTTGTTAGGGGTGAAGAATGTAATACCCCAACTTTTCAAAATGATAGAATTGGAAATTTAATTTAATTTAATTTTTTTTTTCATTGATTAATTGTGGTTGCTTAGTTGATTTAATTAATAATTGTGTGTATTTAATTTACATGTTAATTGCGATTGTTTTAAGTATATTATTTAAATTGATTTAAATTAATTGCCTTAGTATTATGTAACTTGAATTTATTACCTGATTGTTTTTTAGTACTTATTTAATTGCTTTATTTAATTAATGTACTGTTTTCTTTATGGTAACTTGGGGGTTTTATTTTACACGGATGTCGCCGACATAGTTAGGGAATGGATGTTAGGGTTTTGTTTTCTTGTTGGTAAACGAATTAGAATTAGGTTAAAATTTTGGGTTCTATAAATATATAGTTTAATGTGGGTTTAGGGTTTTATAAAAGTACACAAAGTTCTTCTCACGTACCTAAGAAACAGAGAGAAAATACATAGTGCAACAGTGAGGAATTGTAGGAAAACAGAGAGTAGACCTTTGAGGATTTATAGTGAGTTTCAAGGGGAAGAACGGGGTTGCTTCTGGATTGAACCAAGAGTGCTGGAGGTGTAGAACAGTAGTCGACAACGTTGACGGAGAACTCAGAGACGGTGGTTTACAGTTTCAAACTCTGAAATTGCAGGTAAGTCTCTGTTCTACTCTTTCCCCTTAATTTGTGTTCTGTGCATGCCTGGTTAGACTTCAGGGTTTTAATAAAAGATAAAACGGATTGACACAAACATAATAACATGTTTTCCATGCAGATATGAATTTATTTGATCTCAGTGAGTAAACTGTTTTGCGTACTGGTTGATTTTCTGCTATCTGTGTCTTTTACGTTTAAGCCTGTTTTATTGAGATTAGTAATATGATTGGATGCCTTACAATTATTCTGAGAATGAGTTTAATCCCTAGAACAAGATTTTAAAACAGTTTTGAGTTTTACTAAATAAATTTGTTGTAAGTTGTCTAAAGTTGCTATCAGAAATTATGTAATCGTTGTTGTAAGACTTGTGTCTAGTTCAGATCGTGGTTGCATATCAGTGGGTTAAGATTACCCTAGAACTAAGATTGAACCCTAGAACAACCATTAAGAACCTTACAGAGGTCTGGAAAACACCGCAGTCGAAGAAGAAGCAGCAGAACGGACGACGACAACTAAAGGGAGAAGAGCAGGCTCCAAGAAGAGGAGGAGCCGGCTTTTTCTACCTTAGAGCCGGCTCCAAAGGAAGGTGGAGCCGGCTCCTAGATTAGTTAAGGAGGCTCTTTTGAAAAAATAGAGCAGGCTCTTTGTTTTGAATGAGCCTGCTCTCAGTTGAACGCACCAAATTTTGTTTTTGTGCACTGTTTGGTCTGTATAGGTGCTTGGAACTTTGTTTAGGCTGTTTTAAATTGTTGTTGGGTCTGGAATAAACCCGTTATACTATGGAAAATTTTAATCCATGATTGGGTTAAGGATTGGAGCAAATTAAATTTAAGAAAAATCGGGAGTTGCTAACTGTTTTGAACATTCAAACCATTTATTGGAACTTGGAATTTTTTTTCTGGCATACATAATTTATGGTTTAGTTATATCTAAACAGAAGTATAAGAATAGTAAGTGCTTGTAACCATCGATTCTTGATTTGGAATTAGTTGATATTTTTTTATAAATTCTGTTCAATTTAAGGAGTTTATGGAGGATTGGATTACTACGCCGTGTATTAGTATTTTAAATGATTAAAATGTGATGGTTGGATTCTGTAATAATTCCTATTGACTTGTTATAGGTATTAAATGATAATTATGCATATAATGGATTATGATTGATTTATATCTAATACTGTTTCCGTCAACTGGGTTAGCTGGAGGGGCTATTTGTACAGTCTCTTCATATATATAAAGAATTGTAATGAGATATCTAAATGTTAAATTGGATGCATAAATTGGTTGTATACGTGCTAAACTATATTTATGCTTATTCTGGGATGTGGTTAATAAATAATTGTACTGTGTTAATAACTACATGAACTGGAGGATTGTATGTACCGGTATGGGACGGTGACATACTAAGTATGAATTAGTTCAAACACTAAATCCTACCTAATTTGGAATGAGTTAGGTTAACCATAAAAAGGTTAAGTCCCACTTATATGGATGTATATGAACCGGTATGGGACGGTGTCATATTAGGGATGGCTTAGTTCAAAACACTAAGGCCTACCTATATTGGGAATGGATTAGTTCAAAACACTAAGGCCTACCTATATTGGGAATGGATTAGTTCAAAACACTAAGTCCGACCCAATTTGGATTCAGGTATGGATTAACCATAAAGGTTAAGTCCATCACCTACATGTGTCATATCAATTGTGAATTGAATGATCTACTATGGTTTCCGAATGGATTTATTATATAGATATCAGACCACTACACAGATGGATGATATTCTGTATTAGGAGGAGTACGGACTTTATATATTTATTATATGTGCCATGGTATGAGCCTGAGTCTCAGGACCATGGTTAGGGCGCGTATATCGCCTAGAATGGATAACTGGACATAGGTGTTGTCCCCTGGTAGGTCTAGGTACTCATGCCCACCTTAGGGTGTGTATTTGCATGTTACCTTCTATTCAGGCTGAGACAGACCTACTGGACTAGCGAGCGTCCTATAGTGTGTACTATATATACATATATGGACTACTCTAGATATTGTTGAGTCTTTCTAGGATGTATCTGCGTATCGGATTACTGTTTGGATCGTAGTAGATCAGGACTTGCATGTGGGCCTGACCCACTCTATTATTTTTCAGGTGTTCGACAGTACCAGTCTTAGCGCTGGATCGTGTTGATGCAGATACAGACACTCACTCTTCCGGTTACATAGGATTTCCTTTCTATTTTAAATTTTGGATTTTAATTCTGTAAATTTAATCAAGGATTTGGGATTAGGGGTCCACTAGGTGGATTCCCGAGTTGTACGGTTTTAAATCATATTAATTTATTTATTTCAAGTTTGAGGATTCTTATGTTAGATTTCTTTAAGCGTATTATTTTTTTTTTTTTAATTCAGTTTTATTTCTGCTTGTTTACATATTAATTGTTTGGTATCCCTCGGATCCGTGCTCGGACTTGATCACCCGTGGCTCTAGAATCGAGGGGTATTACATTCATGGCCTATGGTTGTTATGTAGAGCAGTTTGTTCCTGCTGCTGCTTAGGTTGGTTGTGTTAAAAATTATACAGTTCTTCTATCTATGTTTAAAAATTATAATATCTTACTAATTTGAAGGACCATGTTCAGTTGGTTGAAGAAAATCATATTGGTATAAATTTTAGCAGTTACGGTTTGATTGATTTTGTAGAGCCTGCCAAATGAATTAAAAATTGACTATATTACTTAAAAAAAGAGTCCCAATTTTTGAATTTCATGTATTATATCTGTTACTTTTTATTTCTCTCTGGATGAATGACTAATTAAAAATATTAAAAACCAAACTCACAATGTTATCTCTCTTACTTTTTCTCTCTCTCTCTCTAAGGCAGTGAGTCTACAACTATTCTTATTTAATTATTTCTATATTGTTGTAAGTCAATGTTAAAGGAATATCCTTCCAAAAATACGAAACTGGTAAAGGAAAATGCTGAATGCGAGTGTTAATTAACAAACTCATACAATTATATTATGTAAAAACCATTAGTGTAGCAAAAAGTGCATAACCAACCCACTTATTTTAGAGCAGAATATGATATCTGCTTATTTTAGCAAAACCACCCATTTCGTGGCTACGTTCTACTTGGTTGGCATAGAAACATTTGCCTACATTTTTTTGATCTAACTGTTGTCAACCCAGAACTGGGCTTGAAGATACTCAATTACTTTCTTGTCCAGTTGGAAAGCCTTGGTTAGAACATCAGGAGAAATGGGTGGTTTCGATCCAAAGACTGCGTTTGCAATGGTGATGACTCCCGGGTTTTGGCTGCTCAGCCCGGCAAAAGCTACTGCATTAGTCTTTCCAACATTGAATTGGAAGTGAATGAGACCAATTGGGAACACAAAAACATCTCCAGGATATAAGACCTTAGTGAAGAGAGTGTTGTTAGGATTGGAGGTGACGAACCCAACGTAGAGGGTACCCTCAAGCACGGCGAGTACTTCAGTTGCACGTGGGTGCGTGTGCGGTGGGTTGAGACCCTTAGGTGCATAGTCAATGCGGACTAAGGATACACCCAAAGTGTTAAGTCCTGGTAGTGTATCAACATTCACAGTTGTCACATTCGATCCAACTTTATTATTTGTGTTTCCAGGAATATTAAGACCTTTAAAAAAGAAATCTTCTGCTTTAGCAAGCTTTGGGTCCTTGCAAAACTTCCCATTCACAAACACTGCAGCCAAAAGAATGGGCGTTACATTGTTGAGTTAGTAAATATATATATATATATATATATATATATTAGAACATGCAATGAAAAATATGGACTATGCCATTTTACCAACAAAATTAAAGCATGGATGAGAGGGAAAAAAATAAGACTAGGGAATATATATATGTGTGTGTGTGTGTGTGTGTGTGTCCATACATACCTGCAGACTTCATATCATTAATAGCAACACAGAAGTCCTGGAGAGGGCTTGGGTCAAATGCATAGGCAAGTGAGAATGCAAGGGCCAAGATGGTTGTGGTGGCTACAAAGAAGTGAATGCCCATCTTAGTCATGGTTAATTAAGCAATCACACTCTTTATTTGGAGTGAATTGGTTGGCTGAGAGATGAAAATTCTAGCATGGCAAAGGTGGCTATTTATAGATAGTAGGATGTCCCAATGTCTTCATGGTTAGGTTTTTATTTTTTATTTTCAAAGTAAGTAATTCTCCAACTACTACACATATCACCCACTTCCGATTAAATTTTCCACACCTTATATCAACAGAGCTAAACCATGCCTCAAACTTCCCAGCCATTTACCTTTTTTCTTTTTCCATTTTTATATTTCATTAGATTGGGTAAAGTAGGGAAATAATTCTCTTGTTACATAAATAAACAAATTAAAAAAAAAAAAAAGAAAAAAAAAAAAGAAAAGGAAGATAAAATTAGTGATGACCAAGTCTTCTTCTCTTTCCATCCAAATAATTCTTACTTGCAGTCAATATTACACTGTTCAAAAGAGTTAATCCTAACATGTGTGTTCGGTGCTAATTCCGCACATTATTAAATCAACAATGTAATACATTACATTACAATTTTACATTACAATGCGTGTAACACCTTACATGACATATGCAACACATGCACATGTTATGAGAATTTAATACTCATCTAACATATTTAGATCGATGCAACGAAATCATCATTTAAAAATTGTTACGTTGTGGATTTAAACATGCAACACTTAAATTTGCACCAAAGAAATCTTGATCTATGTCGTACTTATTCTATACTTTTCAAAATCTAGAAGCAGTCTTAGATTTATCATTTTTAAATTTAAAACAATGTATTAAGTTTGACGTGGCATATATTAGAGCATCTCCACCCTTTTTAAATTTAAAACAATGTATTAAAATTATGGTGAAAATATGTAGAAAAAACTTCCACCCTTTTTCTCCATATTCGTCTTACTCCTGTGACCTACCTGATCATGAAAATAGGTGTCATCTTATTAATTAATAATTCATAAATTAAACTAGAACTTTTTTCCATGCTTTGAGTAACTTTTGTCTAGTCACTAGAAAAACCATCTTTTGAATTTAAACGAAGTTTGAGGAAGTTAATTAGTCATGAGGTGGTTAGAAACATTTGCCCAATAAAAATTAATAAAGTGCGAATTAAGGAATCATTGAGGAGGATAACAAAGCTAATTGAGGGGGTAAGGTATCCCCGCGTGTTTCAACCATTAAAGCGTCTCTGAGTGCCCTAAGTATTGGATCATTCATCAAGTAAACTTCATCACGGGTCTCCTTTTGGGGAATATGTACATTTTTTCTTGTTTATATTAATTTTAAATTACAATATATACTATTCTTTATAATTATTAGATAAACCCAATATTAACAATTTATCTCCTCCATTCTCTTTTAACAAATAAATTAAGTAAAGTGTTGTTTCCTTCCTTTCTCTTTTGTTCAATCAAACAAAAAGAGGAAAATATATAGCTATCCTTTTCCCAGAGATTTCTTATCCTTCCCTTTTTCTTTTTCTTCTATCTAATTTTCTTCCTTCTTAACAACAAAACAAAGCATACATTAAATATAGAGAGAAGAAGAGAGAGAGAGAGAGAGCCTATATTAATTTCTCGTAAAAAGAATTATGCGCATGCTTTCTACAAGTGTGACAAATAGAAGTGGTCCATGCATCCTACAACAGCTCTAACCAAAGCCCATATATTTAAGTTCTCCGTACATAGGGTAACCTACATTCAACCAAATTCATAGATTTCGAAGCATACCTAATATCACTTTACAGAAGAAGAAAAACAAAAAAGCTTAATATAATAACAATATATTCAACCTAATCTATGCATTTGAAAAAAAAAATTATATATATATATATATATATATATATATATATATATATATATATATATTTTCATGCTTATATTATATGCAATGCAACATGGCATAATATAATGAAACTAATTACCTATTCTATTTTATGCGTTTACAATTACAGAGTTCCATTTTATATATGATTCTTGCAGTTTGTTAATTATTGTGGAGCTTATTGGGCCAGTAGATTTTGATATATATATATATATATATTGTGGTCAATGTGGTGCTACTGATTTATTTTGGGATTCTTTGCCAAACTGGTTGTTACAAGTCTGTTTTATTGATTGTAATTGTTTATTCGTTTTTTAATGACAATAATTGATTTTGGTTAAAAAATTATATATATATATATAGTTATATATTTTGGGTAACTAATAATATATTATTAGTTAGTCTACTTTTTGATTTTAAAGAAAAAAAGGTCCAAAAGAAATTATGAGGACCAGAAAGTTTTACTTGTAACCAATATTTTCAACTAATTTCGGAAGTCTATTAACCGCATTTTATTCCCAACATTGCCATTTCTTATAAATGCCTTAAATGTTATTTTCTTATTAAAATATTAACTATACCCTTTACCTCTAAATTTCTAATTAATATCAATAAGAATAAATAAGCACATAGTATTACTTGCCACCAAAATTAACAAGTTATTTAAATTTAACCAATTTTTATAAAAATAAGTATTTAAAAAACCCCAAAAGGTTCCACAGTTTTTTTGATGAGGTGTATTCATATTAGGGCTGCAACTCAGTCGGGTCCAACCCGAAATAACCTGAGCCTAACCCGAAATTTTGTAGGCTTGGCCCGCTTGGGCAATATTTTTCTAATTTCAGTTTAGACCTGGGTTATATATTTTGAGCCCGAATTTAATTCGACTTGGGCTTGGGTTAATATGGATGAAGCCCGAAACCTAACCCGAGATTGAAAATATTATATATATTTATAATTATACCTAAGTTACAATAATGTAGTAGCCAAGTTAGTTGTGTGCTTGGGATTTATGTTTATAGTTTCAGGTTCAAGTGATGGGTGCAGCATTAATTGATTTATTTTTTATACACAAATTCTTCTGGGGGCTGGGCTTGGGCTGAAGATTTTTTATATGGGCCTAACCCGAGATGAGTGACAAGCTCGCTCGAGTTGCAGCCCTAATTCATATACAATTAATTAAAAAATAAATAATTTTTTTGTAAATTTAAGACTATGTGTTATATATATATATATATATATATATATATAGTTCTGATCTCTTGATCTCCATAGAGTAAGAAAATTACTCTACATTTTTATATAGACCGTTAGATTAAATCTAACCGTCATTTTTCAAACTCACATATGGCCTTTCATTTTAACACAAAACCGCTCTCACTCTATTTTTAGTTTTTATATTTAATTTTACCATTACCACTTACGTAACAATAAAAGGTAATTATCAACTCTCTCTATTTTTTTGTGGGTTGAATTTGAATTCATGAACAAAAATATAGACAAATGATTACTCTCTATGGATAAGGTTGTGAAAAGAGTTTCACCTATTTTTTATATAAGAAAATGACATTAATGATATTTTCATTTAAAAAATAGGGCAATATTGGAAAAGAAAAAAAACCAATGTAGGTGGAATCATGAACTTAATTGGAATGACTCAATTGTCCTAACAAATCATTTTTAGGAGATACTGTTCCTTATAATTGAAAAGTAGGACTAATAAGATTTTTCCTTCTATATATATATATATGTATGTGTGTGTGTGTATTAATGCATATAAGCACCAATTATGAGTCAAATAAAAGGAATCCAGCCAATATCATCAACTACAAAGGAGCTGAAACAGGCCTATCATCCATAATGCACAAGAATGGATTATTTTTATAGGAGTATTATTTTCGTAGGGTCTTTTTGACAATATAAGTGTAAAATCATTGTTTGACGGGGCATTAAAAGTAGAGCAATGTTAACGCGACTGCGGAAGCACAGTCGCGGGACGCGTCAGCACAGCTCATTGACTGCAAAATTTTTTTTTTTAACATATTCGAGGTCTCTGCTCTCTCTCATCTCTTTCTCTCTCTAGCCTAGCCCCATCTTTCCTCTCTATCTCTCTCTAGGTTAGTTAGCATAGCTCTTAAAAGTATTAGCCTATATTAGTAGTATTAATTACTATACTATTCAAATTGAATGGTCAAGCTTCCGGAAGCTCTATCCAAGAGCCCTAATATTTAAGTTCATCTCCGTACATAATCTAACCTACCCGGCGACAACCAACCAAATCCATAGACTTCACTACTCAAATCACATAAATAACATATTCCACCAAATCAATGCAATTTAAACAAATACACATGTGATGCAACATGGTATCATGTAAATTACCCCAAAAAAAAAAATTGGTATCATATTTTTTAATATTCTATCGTAATGCTTTTAAAATTTCAAAGTTATTAATTTGCATTTTACATAAGATTCTCGAAAGTACTTTCTTTTGCTCACTATAGAGGAATTAATGATATGTTAATTAGTTTTTTTTAAAATAATAATAAGGGTGAATTGTAAAAAATTTCCCTCAAGTATTAGTCAGTTACAAAAAAATTCCTTTATGAATATATTTAACAAAAAACTCCCCTCAACTATCCCAAGGAGATGTTTTTAACTGATATTCGTTTGAGTGATTGTTTGAGGAAATTTTTCGGTGAAAATTACCCTTTAACAAATTATCCTTCAGACAATTTATTTATTTATTTTCTATCTCAGTCAAACAAGATATATGCAGCAAAGAAAAATTCCAAAAAGACAAAATGGAAAACCAATAAAATCATATTTAAGCTATGTATAATTAATAAAATAAAATTGAGTACAACCGCATAGGAGGGAGAAAATCCACCATGGTATTGGAATAGAAGATGGAAAAATAAACACATTCAGAACTCCTTCAGTACACTTGATCTTTAGTAACCATTATAACAGTTAATTATTTTAAGGAAAATAATTAATAATTTGCTATGTTTCCGGCCTTAGTACAATTTATTTATTTTCCTTAATTGAATTATGCTACAACAGGGTAAGTAGACTAAAATTGGCAATTAAAAAGCAAAATAATTTCTTTTTCAAATCTGAATTTTTTTAAAAAATTTTTACTTCCTTCAAGAACACGTAATACCCCAAAGTAACTTTTTAAGACGAAATTGTTGTAATTGATGTAATCAAGTTAAAGACCTAAAAATATGAACGTTTTTAATGTGAATGGTCATCGTTGCCCTTTATACAATTCACAAGAATCTAATTTCTATTTGAAGTAACAAGAAGGCTTGCTTGACGCGGGGAGAGAAGAGAGAAAAAAATAAATAAATTATCTGAAGAATAATCTGTTAAGGGGTAATTTCGCCCAAAAATTTTCTCAGACAACCACTTAAAAGGACATCAGTTAAAAACACCTTCTTGGGATAGTGGGGGAAAATTTTTGCCAAAAAAATTCATAAGAGAGATTTTTTGCAATTGAGTAATAGTAAAAGGGAGTTTTTTACTATTTGTCCTTTTTTTTTTTTTTTTCAGGAGCAATAGTCACTGTTGGTTTTGTTTAGTTACAAATTATATCTTGATAACTAAGGAATCGTTTGGTAATATTTATTATGTATTCTGT